CATTTCATCCCTCCACCTGCTCCCACCCTCCCCCTTTTGAGGTGTTACTATTTTTTAAATTGTACTTAGTAGAAATCTTTTAAATTGTGACAATGTAATGTTTACCCAAAGGTACAAATAACTTAAAACAAAGCATATTGTATGACATAAATATAACATATTTTGAGTAATGTGAAAAAAGATACAGCCATGAGGGAGTTGAGGTACTAAATTTGTAATATTTTATCAAACCTATTGTAGTCTAATATATGATGTAATATAGTCTGATGAGCATCACCTTCAGAAGTCAAAGTTGCATGTTTTGAAATGCTATATTCAGGATTCTTAATAAAAATTGCTGAAGATAAAGTAGGCTGGGTACGGTGGCTCAAGCCCGTAATCCCAGCACTTTGGGTGGCCTAGGCAAGAGGATTGCCTGAGCCCAGGGATTTGAGACCAGCCTGGGCAGCTAGGCAAGACCTTGTCTCTACAATAAATCAGAGCATTAGTCGAACATGGTAGCGTGCACCTGCCCAGCTACTTGAAGCAGAAGTGTTGCCTGAGCCCAGCAGGTTGAGGCTGCATGACTGTGAGCGTGCCACCGCACTCTAGCCTGGGTGACAGAGTGAGACTCCAACTCAAAAAAAAAAACAAAACAAAAAAAGAAGATAGAGTAAAAAAAACTTTTGGGTTGGGAGAACAGTTCTCACTTTTAGGTACAGTTTGCTGTAATAAGGATTTCAAGATGATTTCCAATAAGGTGAAACTCTTTCTGGTCTTATACTATTTCATACACTGAACATTCATAGGATTTCTTAAATGAGCCTGCATCAGCTTAAGAGATGTCACCAAATGTGGCTAAATTATAAGCAGTGGAAAATAGGAGCTGCTGTTGACTCATGTAAAACAGGGAAATATCTAAAACTGAAAACCCTAGAAGTAGATTAACTTTATGTTTTTATTCATGTGTGCATTCATTCATTCATAATTGCTTAGTCTTTAAAAGACTGTTCTATTCTTGTCTGAGGATGGTTTCCATTTAAAATATGAGTGAAAATATTGTTGTTAGTTATCTGTAAGATTTTTGTAACCTTGGCTAACTCTATTGATGTGCACACAGAAGACATTCTAGGGATGACATTTTGATATGAATTAACTCCACGTGCAGGCTACTGTTTCATTTGTTAAGGGTAGAAATGAAGTTAAGAAGTTAAATACTTTGTTCTAGTAGGTGGTAGCCACGATATGAGCTCAGGTCTCCTAACTCCAGGGTGTGCTTGCAATCAGTCAAAACCTAGTCAATGTCAGAAGCATACCAGAAATTTGAACAGGAATAATACAAACAATTATTAGCTGGTAACAGGGATTAACTCCTAAAGAGAAGTAAAGAATATAGGATATGCAGAAAGCAACCATTAATTGTAAGTTAGAGGGAGAATACCCAAGGAAGGAATGAACTTGGAGGGCTTTCCCCAGCCTCCTAGCCTCCTCTTCCTCCATGTCAGGCCAAGACTCAGATCCGTTTGTTTGTTTTGAGCCAGGGTCTCACTCTATCTTGGGCTTACTGCAGCCTTGACCTCCTGGGCTCAGGCGATCCTTCCGCTTCTGCCTCCTGAGTAATTGGGACTACAGGCATGCACCACACACCCAGTTAAATTTTTGATTTTTCTTGTAGAGACATTATCTTGCCATGTTTCCCAGGCTGGTTTCAAACTCCAGCTCAAACAATCTTTCCCCCTTGGCCTCCCAATGTGCTGGGATCCCAGGCACGAGCCACCTCACCCAGCCGAGACTCAGATCTTATTGGGGCAGATGTGGCTATAGCCACTGGAAGAGAGAGAGTGCATTGGCATGCCACAGACTAGGGCTGGAGAGCAGGAAACGATTGACTGGGGTACTGGGAAGACTTGCCTGAAAGCTGCTCACTAGGATGTCCTTGAGACTTGTTGGAAAGCCACTTGCCTGGGTGTCTGCTGGCACCCTGGCACAAGAGCAAGAAGGAAAATCACCAGAACCAGTGTCTCTTCGGCACCATCTACTGACAGGGCTGACTGTGCCTAAGAAGAAATATTTCTAAGGTCCAGCTCCAGTATCGCAGAGCAGAGCTGAGTAGATTCAGAGCTGTGGGGCCTAACTGGCCTAACGGTCCTCACCCATGACAGATTGCTTACGTCCCACATTGCACAGTGATGAGAAGTCATTCTAAAGTATCTGACACTTTTTCCATACGTGGTACTTCAGTTTCAGTTTTCAGCTCAGTTAGGAGCCATGCAGCATCTGAAAGACCAGTTGGAGCAACGGACACGGATGATAGAGGCAAATATCCATCGACAACAAGAAGAACTGAGAAAAATTCAAGAGCAGCTTCAAATGGTCCATGGTCAGGGGCTGCAGGTCAGTTATTGTTATATTTGAATACCAAAAATCATGCCATTTACATTTTTGATGTCTAGGAAAATTGACTTTTCTTAATTAAAAGTGAGATGCAAAAGATACATTTCATCAATTTGGTTCAGTAACTACCCATTGATTACCTACTCAATATGACTATACTCACAGCCCCGAAAGATAATTCGTTCCTAAGGGAATTTCCAACAGCATCTTTGTTTTTTCAGATTAGTGGAGTCATCTTTTACCACTTCAGATTTTAGTAAGTTTAAATCCATAATAGAAAAATTATATTTTACATAAACGTTTAGGTACACTAGTAATAGTTTCAGTAATATGCCTATTGTTGTGATTCAAATTAGTCTAATTTGACCAACCTAACAGGACCACTTTAGGTGACTAGGACTTGGATAAAGGGAAACTTTGAGTAAAAACTTCTGTTGGGCCGGGCAAGGTGGCTCATGCCTATAATCCCAGTACTTTGGGAGGCCGAGGTGAGAGGATTGCCTGAGCTCAAGGGTTTGAGACCAGCCTGGGCAATTTGGCGAGACCTCATCCCTACAATAAATCAAAAAATTAGCAGGGCGTGGTGGCATGTGCCTATAGTTCCAGCTACTTGGAAAGCTGAGGTAGAAGGATCACCTGAGCCCAGCAGGTTGAGGCTGCGGTGGCTGTGAGCATGCCACTGTACTTCAGCATGGGCAACAGAGTAAGACTCCAACTCAAAAAAAAACTACTTCTGTCTACCATTATAAATTATAAATATAGGTGATACAAAGCCACCAGGCCACAGACTCTTGAGTAGCAGAGTTGTGTTTTTTCTAACAATTGGAAACATGATAAGATTAGGATAACTGAAGATTGAATATGAAGTTTCATGTTTTATTCAGTAATTATTTACCTAATAATAATTTTGAATTGTTCATTCAAAAAGACTTAGTCTTCTTGATTTTTGGACTTTCTCTGTAGCTTGATTTTGCTTTGTTTTTAATGTTCTCATTCTTTGTTTTCATTCTACAAAGCTCACTTTAACATAATCTTTATTTTTAAAGATGTTTTTCCAGCAGTCAAACCCTGGACTGAATTTTGGTTCTGTTCAACTTTCTTCTGGAAATTCATCTAACATCCAGCAACTTGCACCTATAAATATGCAAAGCCAGGTTGTTCCTACTAACCAGATTCAAAGTGCAGTAAACACTGGGCACATTGGTACAACCCAGCACATGCTACAACAAACTTTACAAAGCGCTTCAACTCAGGTAATGTTGTTGAGTGCAGAGGTGTTCAGTGGGCCATGGGGTGGTCAGTGACTGAAGTGCACATTACTGCTGAAACGAAAATGAAGCTCTGGCTTATACAAGACCATATTTTAACACTTAATAGTAATTAGAAAGGATAGTGTTGAGATCATTAAAGTATTTTGTGTAAAATTATGTTATGCTAAATATTTTCATTATTTTGAGATTTAAAAAATTCCGCAATCTGTTTAAAGATCTAGTCCAATTGTTTACCAGGTTCTTGTAACTTATACAGTACTTCTGTATATTCAAAAGGTTTGCCTTGCAAAAAAAGAGGCCGACTAGGAACATATGTGCAGGATAGACTATTGTAGGAGGCAGTAATGCTTAATTAGTATTCCAGAAAATTTTGGTGATTACTGTGCATCTGTGACTATAAATCCCAAGGCTTTAAATGAAGAATATAATATCTACTCATCAGTCACTCACTTGGGCATTTGGCAGAAATTCTTTGTGTATGCTTTATTTCATCCCTTTTAAGATCACACTCCTTTTCTAGAGTCATGGCTTGCCTTTCACCAAGGTGCTTAAGATGACGTTACTCACAGTTACTATATTCCTTAGTGGCTGGATTTCTCCAGAGTAACAAATCCTGCCACTTCTTTCTCTGTCATGTCGTCATATTGTTAGAACTAGAAATAGTAGGAGCATATTTCCAAATAGCTTTTTTCAGTTAATCCGTCTATAAAATCTTCTCTTTTTTAGCAGAGTCAACAAAATGTCCTGAGTGGGCATAATCCGCAAACATCTCTTCCCAGTCAGACACAGAGCACTCTGACAGCCCCGCTGTATAACACAATGGTGATTTCTCAGCCTGCCGCTGGAAGCATGGTCCAGATTCCATCAAGTCTACCACAGAGTAGCACCCAGAGTGCTGCAGTGACCACACTCGCTCAGGACAGACAGATAAGGTAGTGGTAACATTGCATTCTCATTTTTAAAGTTGTAAATTGATTGATTAAAAAGCAATAATTTGACTTTTAAAAACATGATTTTAGTTTTTTGTCCACTGTAGCCAGTGCATTCATTGTCTAAAAATTTATAATAAAAGGGTAATAACAGATTTTGTTTATTGTTGCAAAATATGCTACCAACTACACATATTATAGAATCCAAATTCTATAGCACAGTGTCGTACAAGGTTTATGACAGACTTGTGTCACTGTGAAGCTTTTGCCTCTTCAATATAAGTGCTAGAGTTTTCATGTAGTAACAATGGTGAGGGTAGCTTGCCTTTTATAAGTTTGTGAAATCCTCAAAATATATCATGTAAGTCTCTTTCTTTAAAAATGTGTGTTAGGGTCTTCTTTTATTTCACAGATAAGAAAAAAAGTGGGTTTTTAGTAATTTGTTGAGGGGCCTATAGCTAGTTAAGGAATGAATTCAAACCTTGGCGACTGATTTCAAAACTTAAATGCCTAAACCTACTTTATACTGAGGTTTTGTGCATTATTCTAGAAAAACAACCATCTGTGACTTACTGTAGTGGGAAGTTCAAATAACTGACTTAGAAACAAATTTTTTTGAAGAAATGCCATTCACATATGGGGTATCTGTCTTCTAGCAACTATGGGATCTCTGTAATCTTAAATGCATTTTATTTTTTACTTATTTTACTACAGGTAAGCTATAGCTTTTCTAATACAATTATGTTGGGTGATGTGATATATTTTATTAAAATCCTGTTAGCAGTTCGCAGAGAGTAAAGAAGCTCCAGGATCACAGAGGCGGTGAGAGCAGGGAGAACCCATTGCTTCTCTGGGAGACTAGTTCCTCCTTTTTAAAAAGCCTAACTTCCAGTGTTCATGAAGGACTGGTTTTAAGGCCTCAGGAAAAGGGCATTAAACTGGAATGCTGATGTGCATTTTGGAGAGGGCAATTTAGCAACTATTTGTAAACTTTTTTTTTTTAGGGGGCCAAAAGACATATTTCAGTCAACAGTTGGAGGTCTGTTGGGATGAGTATGGCATGGTCCTCTCCCCCAGGGAAAGACCAGACTAGTGAAAGCAAGAGAAAGGCAAACAAATCAGTGCTGTTTGGTGTGATGAATCCTTTATAGGTCTTTGGAAAGGAGGAAGTGAGCAGTTTTCATGGCTGGAGGCAAGCAGGTGAATAGAGAGAGATGTGGTCAGGAAAGCTTCATCGAGGAGGACAGACTTGCCCTAAGTCTTCAAGGGCTTTGGCTTTGGATGAGCATGTGGAGCAGAGCTTAGGAAGGTCTTCTAGGCAGAGGGAGCCACAGAAATGTGAGCTGAGCAAAAGGAGATTAAAGAGTGTCTTTTGGAGCCAGAGATACATGAAGCATTCTTATTATATTTACCAGTAAGCCTTTGGGTAATTCAGATACTAATTTCATTTACAATTACAGAGAAATTAGCACTTAGCACTTCTGAGTTAGCACACTTCATAAATGTTACTTGTTTCCTTGTGCTTTCTTTATGTGGAACCTTTTGATTTTTTGTTTTGTATTAAGGCATTTGTCTGTAAAGTATATGAAATACAATATTTTCAGGATCCAACATGAATTCAAATAAATTTATTTTATCTTATGAAACATGTAAGTTAAGATAAAGGATGCATCTGTACTAATTTAATATTGTTATATACTTTAAACCGTTTGGAATTGCAGTTACGTCATGCTACTTCTACACCAGGGCCATATCTGTTTTCTCGCTGTAATGGCCAATGCTGTAAATTAGATTTCATCTCACAGAAGAGGCAAATGACAACAGTATTGTTCCCCAAAAAGGCATCATTGCATTGTTGTTATTCTCATATTTTAAAAAAAGCAGAAAGCAACAGGGAAAAAGAAGGAAAATCAGTGAATTCTATCACAGTAGGCACCAGTATGCTGCATTGACAGTATCTTTTTTTTTTCCTGTTGGAGTCTCACTCTGTTGCCCAAGGTGTAGTGCAGTGGGGACGTTCACGGCCACTGCAGCCTCAGTCTGCTGGGCTCAGGTGATCCTTCCACCTCAGCCTTCCAAGTAGCTGGAACTAGAGGCATGCACAACCACGCCCGACTAATTTTTTGATTTATTGTAGAGATGAGGTCTCGCCAAATTGTCCAGGCTAGTCTTGAGCCTGTGGGCTTAGGCAATCCTCTCACCTCGGCCTCCCAAAGCGCTAGGATTATAGGCGTGAGCCACTGTGCCCGGCCTGATAAATTCTTAAATTGAGGGTACTTTTATTCACTGTTAGAATGTGATTTTAAATTATGTTTGGTTTTAAATTACATTTATAAGATACAACTTTCAGTGTAAATGTATTCTATAAACTAAGACTTTTTACAAAATCACCTTATGATAACTTTAAGTTTAGTCATGAACTGCATGCCAGTGTGCAAGTGCATCATGGGTCACATATATCTGACTTTCAAGTACCTAGTAATTCTATAAAAAGTAAAACGTTCACGTATTAAAGGTTAAAATTGTTTGTGATAAAATATACATAATATAAAATTTGCCATATTAACCATTTTTAAGTATAAGGTAGTGTCATTGAGCACATTCGCATGGTTTTTACCTTCACCCCTCAACTGTCTCCAGAACTTCTGTCTTTGCAAACTGAACTCTTAAACAACTGCCCCTTTCCCTCGTCCCTGACCCCAGTCTTTGGCAGCCACCATTCCAGTTTCTTGTCTCCATGAATTTGACTACTCTGTGTACTTCACACAAGTGGTATCATGCAGTGTTTGTCCTGTGACTGCCTTATTTCACTTAGTGTAATATCCTCAAGATTCATCTATGTTGTAGCATATGTAAGACTTTCCTCCCTTTTTACAGCTAAAGAATACTTCATTGTGTGTACAGATCATGTTTTGTGTACTCATTCACTATCAATGGGTTCTTGGGTTGTTTTTACTTTTTGGCTATTGTGAATAATGCTGCTTATGAATATGAGCATATAAATATCTCTTAGAGTTTCTGCTTTCACTTATTTTGGGTATATACCCAGACAGAGTAATTCTAACATTTAATTTTTTTTTTCTGAGTTGGGGTCTCACTCTATTGCCCAGACTGGAGTGCAGTGCATGATCATGGCTCACTACAGCCTTGACCTTCTGGGCTCAGGCATTTCTTCCGCCTCAGCCACCCTATAGCTGGGACTATAGGCATGCACCACCATGCCTAGCTAGTTTTTTATATTTTTAGAGAGAAGTTCTGGCTATGTTGCTTAGGTTGGTCTCCACCTGGGCTCAAGCAGTCCTTCCACCTTCGCCTCCCAAAGTGGTGAGATGACAGGTGTGAGCCACTGTGCCTGGCCTTAATATTTAATTTTTTGAGAAACTGCATACTGTTTTCCATAGTGGCTATCACCATTTTTACATCCCTACTCGCAGTGCACAGAGGTTTGAGAAACTGCATACTGTTTTCCATAGTGGCTATCACCAGTTTTACATCCCTTCTAGCAGTGCACAGAGGTTTTTCCACATGCTTACCAACATTGATGATCATACCCTTTGATACACAAAGGTTTCAATTTGATGTAGTCCAGTTTTTTTTTTCTTTTGTTGCTTGTGCTTTTGATGTCATGTTTGTGAAATCATTGCCAAATCCAATGTCATGAAGCTTTGTCCCTATGTTTTCTTCTAAAAGTTTTATAGTTTTAGCTATGTTTAGGTCTTTGATCTTTTTTGAGTTAGGTAAGGGTCTAACTTCTTTATTCTTTTGAATGTGAATATCCAAAAACAATGTGTTTTTGTCATATGTTGATTTTGTTTTGCTGATATCCCAAAGGGAATCTTTAAAAACATCAAACAAAATGACCACACAGAGCTTTTAAGAAACTAAACTGGCAGTGTCATTGAGCATTATCTCAGGTAAGTCTGCAGTCTCCTGCCTTTCATGCTTTGTACTTGCTTTCTTCTCACAGATTTTCTCAAGGTCAGCAACTTGTGACCAAATTAGTGACTGCTCCTGTGGCTTGTGGGGCAGTCATGGTCCCTAGCACCATGCTCATGGGCCAGGTGGTGACTGCATACCCCACCTTTGCCACACAGCAGCAGCAGGCTCAGACGTTGTCGGGAGCACCGCAGCCACAAGGTTCTCAGGAGCAGCAGCTCACGGCGGTGCAGCAGCCTCCCCAGGCCCCGCTGGCCCAGCCTCCACAGCAGCTTTTACAGGTAACTCTCCCCAGGGGAAGCTGACTCAACCTGTGCAGTGGAGTTCACCATTAAGTGAACAGTTTCTAAATGATCTGAAAATGTGTAAAAGCTTATTGTATAGTTCAGGTCTCTACCAAGATGGAAAGCGTGTCCTGGTTAGCTGTTTTTCTTCCCTTATACAGTCTTTGGAAAATTTCAACCCTGCCACTGGCATACCCAGTTATCTGGACTGCTTGATGGAGTAAGTGGCTACTTCCTGCCACATCAGGGCATTTTTACATGAGCCTGTTCTCAGAGAGAGCACATGAAATTTAAACAAAGGTATCCTTTTTTCTCCTCTTTTTTTGTAACCACCCATCTAACTCTAATCTGTTCAGAGCAGGAATTTGTTTTTACTACTATAGGCATTATCTCAAGTTATTTTGTTGGATTAAATTTTATTATAAGCTTTCAGTTATAAACTAATATCAGAGGAGAAGTACCAAAGGGAACAGTATATGTTGTGGTTAAGAAGTTGGGCTCCAAAGTCAGGCTGCTCTAAAGTTGAGTCAGTGGGCATCATGTGCTGTGGGACCTTTGGCAGGTTACTTATACTTGCCATGATTCACCTATAAAATGGAGGATGTGAGAATAAAATATGCATGTAAATTGCTGAACATGAGACAAGGCACATAGCTAGCTGTTGTCTGTGACCACTAAATTGACAAATGTAATAAACACTTGGATTAGCCAAGATATAGGCAAAGATATTGTGGGTAAATCATACAGGATCTCCTTACTACAGAATACAGAAGACAGTCACCTAGGTCACAGTCTACAGCAAAGAAATTGGCAGAACCAATTTCTGGACCTCAGAATCCTTACTGGAAGTCCAGCTTTTCCCTTCTGACCTAGATGGAGTGGTTATGGCTGCCAACTAGCCTGGGTGTCTCCTGGAAAGCACCTCATTTTGGCCAGGCACATGTCATCTATTTCTGAGTTATGCAGCACGAGTTGTGGTGAAGAGGTTCAGCATTGTAATGTACATTCAGGCATACATGCAGCCTTAATGTATCACCCTTTACAGCCTGGTCCAAAAATACAAAGTTTATCTTTGATGTAGAAAACAAAAACAGATTAGTTGCCTACATATCTCCGAGAGTCGTACTCTCACAGTCTCTTAGACCTCAAGCCTGTACTATAGCCATTAATAGTGGAGGCAGCCACTATTTTTTAATAAGTAATAGCAAGAATTTAAAACAAGTTCTAAGCCATTCTCTAGGAGATATAACCAATGAGAATCGAGCAAAAGCTTAAAAAGAAGAGGACTTGCCTTAACGTCTTAGTTTTCTGAGTCTGTCAAGGAACAAAGACCTTAAAAGAATGAACAAAGCTTCATGGTCTTTAAGGGTTAAGGATCTATTCTTTTGTCTGTGTGTGCATGATTCCTTCACATACATTTGCAAAAATCACCCACCACAGCTCCATTCTAAAGTTAGGAACTCTGCATCAAGTTGTAATGTCAGTAGTGGGAAAGGACTTTCATTTAAAAAAATGCATGCTACAGTAAAAATTGAGACTCATAGAATTGACACCTGCCCAGGGTCCCACAGCTTACTTACATAAATAACAGAGCAAAACTGAAATGCAGGACTTCTGCCTGCAGATCCTGTGCCTTTCTGGTTTTATTTTGGTTTTTGTTTTACCATGCTGCTATAAACAGGACTTATGGCTCTAACTTTGCCCTAATTTATATGGTGCTTTTAAGTAATAATATTTAATCTTTATAAAAAGCCCTTTGTGATAGGAGCTGCTGTTCCTAATTTGTAAATGAAGAAACAGAGGCCCAAAGAAGTCAGCAGCCTGACTAAGTCACATTGGGGTCAACAGGGTAGTCCGAGTTTGAATCTTCCCATCTGCTTCAGGCCCACACTCCTGGCTATCAACTGTGCTGCCCTCACCAGCTGGGTGAACCTGTGTGCAGAAGGCATTGTCTGTCGACCTCAGAGTATCCATGTTTCACGGTGACTTAGCTGTGCTCAGATTTTAGTTTGTTTAATATGTGGGTCTTGCCAGGCAAAGTGGCTCATGCCTGTAATTCTAGCACTTTGAGAGGCAGAGGTGAGAGGACTGGCTGAACCCAGAGGTTCGACACCAGTCTGGGCAACTTGGCGAGACCTCGTCTCTATAATAAATCGAAAAATTAGCCGGGCGTGGTGGTGCGTGCCTGTAGTTCCAGCTACTTGGAAGGCTGAAGTGGAAGGATCGCTTGAGCCTAGCAGGTCAAGGCTGTGGTGGCCTTGAGCATGCCACTGCACTCTAGTCTGGGCAACAGAGTGAGATTCCGACTCAAAATAAAATAAAATATGGGCCTTTAGGACACAAAGTCAAAGGACGTGTGGTTTGTCTCAAGACATAGATTGCCGTTTACATCATAAAATCTCTACCTCAGATTCCTTAAAAAAAATGAAATTGTCAGATTTCCAGAAAAAAAGGAAAGCCTTGTGAGCAAAAATGATGTTGGTTCTGTAGAATGGAGGATCCTATCCTTGTGCACCGCATACAGTGTAAGGGGGTGAAGTTATGTTGTATAACTGCTTGTTTTTCAGACTTCTAGGTTGCTCCATGGCAACCCTTCAGCTCAGCTCATCCTCTCCGCTGCATTTCCTCTGCAGCAGAGCCCTTTTGCTCAGTCACATCACCAGCAACACCAGTCTCAGCAACAGCAACAACTCAGTCGGCACAGGACTGACAGTCTGACAGATCCCTCCAAGGTTCAGCCATAGTAGCACACACACATCCTCTCTGATGTCAAGGGAGGAAGAGAATGACCCATAAAGAGTTACTCAGATGACCTGAGATGCGGTATTGAGTGTTCTAGTTCCTGGAATTAGTTGGCAGAGAAAATGCCGCCAGTGCTACAGATGAATATTCCATACCAGCTTGCAGAAGATGATCATAGGTACTTAGCCAGTTCTGACAGTGTTTAGTTGCCCAGGTATTTTTTGATGGAAAATGGATATATTGCCAAATGTTAAGAAACTCAGCTATGAAACGACCTCCAGTGAATCAGAAAGGCACTAGCAATGTTAGTAACTTTCAGTGGTTCTGTGCCTGTTATCAAGTGTTACAGAGGACACGCCACTGCCATGTCAGGGGTTTGCTTACAACGATGCCATGAAGACAGTCCACGAGACTCAGTAGCCTCCTCCCTCTTCAGATAATGATGGAACAGTAATTACTTTCAGAATGTTATGTGGGTTCAAATTCTCTATGTACAGATGCTGTAAAAATATGTATATGTCCGGATAAAAGGAGAGAAAGCAAAATATTTTGTATGCTGCATGAAAGCATTATCCTTTCCTTATAGGTATGAGTACATTTCCTTAGATTCTGACACCATGTGCAAACTGATACATCCTCTGTTTTCCTTTTGTTTACAACACAGTAGTGTTCGCTTCACTTTTCCGGGGCACAAGTCTTTTGTTCATACTTTGGCTGTGATGTCACAGTTTGTTCAGTGAGGTATGATGTGCTGCTGGGAATGGATTTTTTTTCAGGTTAACTTATTGATACAACAGGATTTTCAAGCTATTCAAAAATATCCCTCATTTCATTATTTTTCAATTATGTTTGAAAATAGAATTTGCACTGCTTTTTTTTTTTTTAGATGGTTGGGAGTTTTGATCATGTATTTTAATATAGTTGTTAGTTGGAAATATTTGTATAAATGGTTTTCAACAAGCCTGAAAGTAATTTCAAGAATGTTTCAGTTATAGAGGTAAAATTTGCACACAAAACATCTTAGGCACTTTTTAACATTCTCAATGGTGGGAATTTTAACTTTTAGGATTTGTTGGAATCTTTTTTATTATCCTTCATGATTTCAGTGCTTCTTTTAGTGAGAAATGATTCAGGGTTATTTGAGGGGGGGAAAAAACCCATAGTGCCTTGATTTTAATTCAGGTGATAACTCACCATCTTGAACTCATTGTCTGGTTTCAGTAGTAGTTTTGAAACCTTAGTACATTTTTAACAGCATGTGGGTATCAGTGTCATTATTATTCTAAGTTCCTTTGAGGACTGCTATCAGTCTCTTGGACTGGCGGTACAAATAATTTAGGTATAAAAGATGACAACCTAACACTATCACAGTCATTAATGTAATCACAGAATTGTTTCCTAAATGAGCATTTTTCTTTACAGCTAATTATACATTTAGGAATCACCAGTAAATGTTTGCTCAATATGATCTTGATATTCCTTCAAAGAAAAAAGAAGGGGTAGGAATTTGGCTTTGCCTTCACTACAGCACTAGAATATTGTAACTCCCATACTTTCTAAACATGAACTTAAGATTTCACTTGGCAATATCACATTCTAAAGGTAACAAATCCAGATGCCAGTTATGTACATTTAAAAAGCATTTTACAGATTTTTATTGTACTAATGAAATGTACAGCTTCAGAACAAAAGATTAATGGAAAATATCTTATTGGAATATGAAAAATTATTACTGAGGTAAGGGAGGACAAGCATAGTAAATTGAAATTGACCATAAAAGAAAATGTGTAACAGAGTTGAGGTTGTCAAACAGAAAATATTTTGAGCAATGGAAATAACTTAATGTAGAGGTCGGGAACACTAGTCAACTCTTAAGACATCTCTGTCCTCAGCATTACAGTCATCCTTAAGGGATACACTTGTCTTTCTGTAGAAAACTATACCTGGCCACAATTAAATTTGAAAATTTATATTGAATTAGAAAACAACCAAAGAAAATCAATACCTAACCTTTTACAAAAGAAGCATGACTAGATGCCAGTCAGCAAGTAACATATCAAGGAGCTCTTCTAAACTAGATGACCATCCAGAAGCGATTCCTGACGTTACCATGAGTATCAGGAGGAGTTGTCTTAGTATGTGTGTGCTTGAGCATACATACACGTGTAGACTAAATGGATGTTGTAGACTTGGGCAGTAGCATTGTTTTTCTCCCCTTTCCAATTTGCCTTCTTGACCTCATGCCATTCCATATTAATCTGAGTTGTGCCTCATTTATTTGTTGGCAATACCTAGTGATATGGATTAGCTAACAAAAGATGTGAAGAACAATTATACTAAGGCTTGTCCTCCAGACACATTATTTAAAAGAAAGATGGGAAGCTGTGGGTACTAGTACTTAGGTGAACTGAAGCAAAGCATGAGGCAAGCCAAAGTGCATCCATAAATTGTTCATTTAGTCACATTCTCCTACCCCAGCCCCTTCGAGTATTCTCCATCCTCACAAATATCTGGAAGAGAAAATTAGAAATTTCCTTTATAATTCTTGTTCTTCACAGCTTGTCCTTTTCCTGCTTGGAATTAACGATTGCTAATTTAAGGAGCAGCAAGCTGCTTTCCCCTCCCTGTCAGTCTGAAGTGTTGTGTTGGAAGAGGCAGCAAGTCCCCCTTGCCATTGTTGCCCTCCTGGTTCTCTTGAATTTGGGTCGCAGAGCTGCCCCGACCCATCCCCGTGAGACTTGAGCATTCAGATGAAGAGGCAGCAACTGTCTGTCCTCCATTCATTTCTGTAGCCAAAGTTGTTTATTAAAATCCCAAATGTAAATCCTGAAAAGATACCAAATAGAAACACCTTTCAGCTTCTTAAAAAATCTTATCTTCCTCTGCTTTACTTTCTCAAGCATTCAGTTTTTCCTAAAACCATTTATTCTGGATGGCACTTTTTAGGTAAGAGGCTGTTGAGGTGATGGAGAAGTTCCGGCTGCTCTGTGGGCCTGAACTTGCTGTGGACTCAGGGCACTGGATGAGTCAGCGGTCACACATGCAAGTGAGAGCTGCAAGGGGTCGGTGGGGTTGCTGCTGAGAGTGGTAGCAAACCACAACCTTGACACCTATAAGTACTCCGTTTTTTTAGTGGAAAATGTGGGAGGAGCAGATGGAAGGGTGGAAGGAACATGTAAGTAAATTCTACAGTTCTGCCTCCAAACAGCCTGTTGGTGGGTCACTTTGGAGTGCAGTGCTCTCCTTTGTCGCCTACATCTGGCTTCGGAATGTACTCGTAATCGAAAGGTGCCAGAGATTTTGAATAGTTTAGAATACTCAGTGCACAATAGTGAACATGTTTGGATTCTTCAGAAGTGCTGCAGTTGTTGGTCATTGCCTTAAAGCAGTCTGCTTGAAGCCAGGCACGCCAGCTTGCTAGAGGGGCATTGCGCTGAGGGAAGACAAGCCCTGGTTCAAGAAGCCTTAGAAAGGGACCCTCAAAACAGTGCTCAACACCGGCCAGTGAGCCTTCTTTTAAACTGGATGTTACTCAACGTGTTCTAAAATGTTTCCACTACATTGAGGCAAACTTTTTACAAGTGGAATGCAAGTAGTATTTTACTTTACTATTTCTGCTTTTTTCTGTTTCTTTTGTAATTGAAAGTTTGTTGATGAACATTTGTGTAAAGCTCATTCAAGTTGATAGCCTTTCCAATATCTGTGGCCCTGTTTCTCGTCTCACGGGAGTCCGTGTTGGAAGGTATAAACACTGGATATTAATATTGATGAGCAAGCTTAACCAGGAGTAAGCTGATCGGAATTTTTGAATGATTGAGAAGAAACAGCACAAAGGCACTTGCCATTTTAATAGTGATTGAAGAATCTTTTAAGTTTGTTTGGATTGGGTAAGCATTCTTCCAAAAGGAGCTTTCTGAATTGCAAAGGAAAAGAGTTGACTATTTTTATAGCATATTTAATATATTTGTATATAATGAGGAGTATAGTAGGAACCCTCCATATGCCTCCCCCTTTTCTAATTTACCCCCCCTTTTGCCATCGCCCTAGTTTAGCCTCATCCGCGTGGGTGACGTGCCTATTGTCAGCCTACCAAAAGATAGCGCTGCTGCTTTTTGAGACAGGTGAGAAGACCCAATCTCATGCCTGGGGATCCTTTATGGGAAGAATAGCACACACTTTTAAAACAACATAACCACAGTCTAAAAGCATCATGTTGAGACTTAACAAGCACTTTATTGCAATTATTCATTTTGATAAAGTTTATTATCTTAGGCATTAACCATTTCTAAAGGATCCCCAAATCATCACTTAGGTGAGATTATAAAATGACACATTTCTGAGAAATGTTTAGATCCAGTGAACCGTAGTAGGTTTATGGGAGTGACTTCAAGGTAGCCAAATGAACTTTAACTTTTGTTTTGAATGTGGTGGAGTCGAGATTGTAGATGCCTAGTTCCATTTAAACACTATTGTAAACCTATCTTGCCTATTGTGTGGACACCAAAAGAGACCAATGAGCCTGTTTATTTTCAGAGGTCTAGGAAAATCACATCCATGTGAGTAGATGTACAAAACGAATCCAAAAGTGATTGGTAGTATTATTTTAGAATACAGTAATTTCAAGAATTATTCTGAGTGTTTTAAATGTGCCCTGAAATGTTGGCATGTCATTTTAGTGTTTCCATTTGAATTGCTCTTGTAATATTTTTGCACAAAAACGATTGAGAAAAAGACTACACTTTGGTTAAAGAAAAAACAGTATAATTTGGTCTTGTTTTAATGTCTCTTGTGGAAACACTGGAGATGAATTTTGTTGGTACAGTTATTAATTCGGGATATTTTAAAGTATTGAACAGCTCACAAGTAATTAAGCAAACTTGGATATTTAAAAATTAAAACTTTTTTTCCATGTGACTGTTTTGCATAGTTTTTTCCCCTATCATAACACTACATTCCTTGTTCTTCTTAAATAATACCTTGCAGGTTTTGTTTTGAGTGTTTTACAGTATTTTGTATGCTGCCTGGGTTTTCCCAGGGACTGACTTTAGTGAGGATACTTAATGAAGAGACTATTCAGTGAAATCCCATCACCACCACCAGCAAACACTGAGGTGCTGCATAAGTGACAATCAAAGTAGTATTTATGAAAGAATTTAGAAAGTGGTTGAAAGCAATTGCTTTGAAAGCAGTTCTCTGGGTTTCTTGAATAAAACTGGCTAAACGTATTTATTTATATTTTTAAATATCTTTGTGTTTTCTCATCAAAGTGATTTCAGTGTCATGTATTTAATTTGTGGTTTGTTTTGTTTTCATTGTAATCTTTTAATTAGAGAACTGGCTCTTATTTGGGGTGCAGACACTAGCCCTCATGACTTCGTGGACAATCTGAATCTGTTTTACTGCAGGGCGACTGTGGCGGGGGCCCAAATCCAGATGCCCCTGCCCGTCCCTTCTTCTCTCAACTCGCTTAGAAAAAAAACATTAAAGGTAACTTCTTTCAAATTCCGAACATGTTCTAGTTTCACTTGCTGCCTTCTCTATTTCTTGGGCACTTTTTGTATTACTTCCCCAACACAGCCAAAGGCCAGTATGACAGAAGCAGTGGCATGGGTTGCCTATTTTGCCCACTGTGGGAACTAGTAAAACAGCATCTTTTAATGGCTGTCATTTTCATACCCATATTAAAATCCATTTAAAACCCTTCAGTATAGCAGGAACAATATATACAACACACTGAAAACTCTACAGAAAACATTTGCTGTCTTGTAACATAGTGTAGTGCTGCTTGGTCCTTTAAAAACAAAACCAAACCTCTGTATGCAGCAGTGTCCAGTACAGCAGTGTTTGAACACCTGAGGCCTGGACATTCGAGGATCCTTCTTGCTCACATAGGCTGGGACAGACTCCTCCCCTTGAGGACTCTGAGTAGCAGGGGTCCCACAGGTTGGGTACAGCACACAACTTACAGAATGGCAAGTAAAGCATGCCAGCCACGAGTTGGATTGAATGCTGTGAAACGTGTTTCTTAACTGATGGTTAAACTGAAGATGTTTTCAAATACATGTTCTTAAATTTCTGAGAAAACAAACTGTGACATCGCTTTAAAAAATGACATTCAAATGTTTTATGATATGTACTTTGGAGTTGGCCTGGACTGGTACACGTTCACTGCTGGCAATGGTCATGCCAGTACTAAGAAGTTGCAATGCAGGAAAAGCTGTGTTATCTTCAAACTAATGTATTGAATAACTAGACAATTATCTCCAAGAAAAAAAAGGCCAGGAAATGTCTTTTTTTTAAAAAAATAGGCATGTCAGCCAGAACAGCTATAAATTTAGACCATTCTAGAATTACTTCAAAATCTATTTTACTATGGTATAAGTTGGGGAAGGGCCTCAATATGGCATTTGCATACTGACTATAATAAAGATTGAAGCCCAAAGACAAGTTGAATTCTGTGCTGTATTGAAATCAGTTCGTGCAAAAAAGCTCTACCTTTGTAAATTTTTAATTGTTGACATCAGTTGGTAGTTGTAAAAATATGCACCAGATTCTTTCTAATGTTCTGTGTGGTTCTTAATGTGATATTCTCAGCACTGCTGTCCTTACTGCTTGGTTCTTGGTTTTAAATTAAAAAGTAGATGTAGCCTGTCATTCCTTCTGAACCGTGAAGCTGTACATGGCTAACTGATCTTGTAATGAGAATTTCTGTTTTCCTAAAGCAAACATCGAATTGAAATCCCAACTGATTTACAGAAATGACATTTCTAGGTGTCTTACACAAAAACCCTAAATTGCATCGAATCATGAGAGATAACAAATGGTTTCAACGGTGCTGTATAAGGTTCTGATTATCATGAGCTGTTTGGAAATACTGTTGTAGAAAATGTGTGGGTCCTTGTTACCAATTTAATGTTACCATTTTAGTGGGGGTAACAACTGGTCGCATTTTTCAAAGCTATCCTTGGAGAAGTGTCAACTCACGCTCTTCGCCTACCTCCACTCAGGCCTCTTGCTGTATGACCGTTTCCAGGTTGATGTGCATAGCTTTTGAAACCCCACGTACTATTAGGATGTTCTTTCCCACAGACTCTTGTATTCAGAACCTCAAATTATAGCAAAGAGCCAAGCAGTAGCATTGTTTTTTGTTTTCTGTTTTTGTATATGTAAAAATAATTAGATCCAGACTTTGTTTCCTTAAATTTTTAAAATAAAAAATACCTCAGTGCTATGTTTTTCAGTATCACCTGCATTTCTCAAAATAACACCTTTGTGTGGCACATAACTTGTAAGAATCACATTATTTTGGATTTTAAAGAAAGACTATTAAATATTTTAAAATCACTATCAATGACATTTTCCTCTCTTTTATTCAACGGAGCCTAATTGCATTAGTGGTTTTGGCCTCCATTTCCCAGAGGAGTCCTGTTCTGGTACAAGACTATGGCACCCCAGGAAGTTCTGTTGTTACCACCCTTACGTACTACCAGGCACCTGGCGGTTAGGGGCAAGCTGTGACGGCATCAGCTGCTTTCTGCAAGAAACCACTTGTTGGTGAGGATTCCTCATTCTCTTTATGTAGACTGCGGCAGCATTAGGGTGTGTCCGACCAAAGGGAATGAAAATGTGTGTTTCTTAATCCATGGACATTATTTTTCTACCCTGTAACATACACCTTTCATGGTGGATAACTCCTTAAATGTTCCAAAAATGCCTTCTTTGGAGTAGCTCAGTAAACCAGAATTGTTCTGGGTCATTATACTTCACATAGTCCTTGCAGAGACTGTGACAGCAGTGTTCCTGCACACGTTTCTAGAACATGAGGCTGGGTGACCACAGCTGTTGCGCCACCTGGATGGAGCAGTGACATCAGAATAAATGTGAGACAGTGACCACTGAAGAGGCTATGAAAAACAAGGTCATCTTAGCATCATGAACGATGCTTATAGGCCTAGTTTGATTCTGCTCTGCCACATGACCTTCGGTGAGCTGGGAGGCATAGGACAGTCCTTCAGAATAGCCACTTACTGGTCTATCAATGTTAATACTACTTTGACAAATTAGGAAGTTAGGAACGTGCATAACACAAGAAAAAACAAGTACTTGTCATACCACTTTTATTTACATTGTCTCTATGTTACATTTTTTTTTTTTTTTTTAGAAAAAATATGAATACATTCATAGTATTCTCTTTTAATTTGGTAATTCCACATTGTCAAATATTGACTGTTTTTATATTGGGTGTCCTACCCAATTAAAAAAAAGAGAAAGGATGGGCCTGGCAGACAGTTTTTGTGTCATATTACTGATATAAATAAGAGTAATACCATATTTGCATATTTGTCTCTTGTTTTAAACAAACAACCTAATTTTGGAAAGACTGAGGATGCTTAAACTACGGCCCACTGGCTCAGGGAAATGTCTTAAAAGTAGAATTCATTCTTTTCCCAAGGGAAATTTTTAAGCGCCTGAGGAGAAAGGGTGTATTCCTTATGAAGGGTGACTGCTGAAGGACGATTGAGTGGTGGGCCCACCACACAGTCCTAGACATGGGTCCAGTGTTAACATAATTAAGCTGAAGAAAAGCCCACACCTGGAAGTCAGAGTTCTTTTAAAAATCCACATCACAAACAGAATCAATGTTATCCCTTTGGATCTAATACTTTCATCAAATGGGTCAAACTCACAAATCAATGCTACAAAATACAGTATTTTCCATCACTTCTAGTTGTAATGTACACTATATACAGAAAGATGAGTTACCTATCTTAAATACAGATGAATAAACTGTTAAAAACCAGAATCGGGACTTATAAATAGTGCAGAAAATGCAAACGCCAAAAAAACGATGCCTCCTATGATGGTCACTGGAAGAGAAGAGAAAAAAGTCACATATAGTAAAATTCTCATTACCTGATACTGCACGAAAGTGAGGCCACCAATGAGGGGGCCTATTCTTCCAATCTAGTAAAAACCAACCCTGAACACAAACAGGAGCCACATTTACACAGCAAGCAACTAGCAGCACACACCCAGCTGATCTGCTGATCTGCCTTTGTCTCTAGCACCTTCTGAGAAGTGAGGGGTGACATAAGATGGGGATGGCGCTGACCAGCAACAGAGCATGGTAACTCGCCTCAAGACCTACTCCGTAAGAGAGAATGTTCAGCAGCCTTCCGACCAGCAAAAAGCTGCAATTATCCCATCTTGAGACCTAACACTCACAACTGCATAGGAAATTCCAGCAGAATCAATACATACTGTCTCCACCTATGATTTCCAGTCTTAGAGACACACTTTTAAAACCCCATATTTCTCATTCTTCCACATGGTGACTGCTTTACTGGATAAGATCATGTTAACAAAAAGCTACTAAGGACAACAATAATGCTTTCTGATGAATCTGTATCCTACTGACTTCTACATGTATAAAAAACAGTCCGTGTTTGCAGCACCAGGGGTAACACTTCTAAAATACGGTAATTAAAAAGACCGGGTATACTTTAGAAGCAAAAAATAAAGTTAACATCCTTTGTCTAATCTCTCAGTGATTCTAAAAAGTTAAAGACTCACCAGTTCTGACAGAGATCTTCTGGGCGATCATTCGTCCTCCAATTACTGCCAGGCCTGTGCACAGGCAGTGTCCCACGGTCCCACCCACTGCGACTCCATAGGGATCCTAGGGGCAAGCACAGCAGCGTAAGTCTAACCAGGGTGCAAAAGAGAGCCAGCAAGATGCTCCAGCAATGGAGGTCAACAACAAAACAGCCTAAGAAAGCTGTGAACATTCAGATGTCTAATAAATTTTAAGATACAATTGCTGTCTAAAGGCCTATGCATCGGTTACTCCTAAAACCAAACCTTAAAGCTAAAGAAACTCAAAGCAATCTGTAAGATCAAAAGTAATCATGATGAAACAGAGCTAACTGACCTTTCAGCAATTATTAAATTTCATTTACAGGCCATGTTTAGCACTCATGTGACAACTGCTGGGAAGACTTAACCTGTTCCTTCAGGCAGCGTTTGACCTCTAAGTAAAAGTAAGCCTTCATTTACAGTGGAGAGTATGGCAGGAACCAGGCCTCATTTTCCACTGTACCTGCAGTGCTTTTTAACTCAGGGTAGAAAACCAAGTGTTCCAGTAAACATGTGCTCAGATTGGGGGGTAGGGGAGGAGTCAGTAAAAGTTTTCCAGAAAAGACAGCCCTGAAGTGAGAGTAAGAGTTAGGAGTTAGCAAGAGGGCCAATGGCAGGACTCAGCACTTCTAGAAAGAACTGGTGAGTCCCAAGAGAACTCCACCCAGGCAGGCGGGTGCCAGATTGTGGAGGGTCCTACAAATGTCAAAGTCAAGTGCAGATAACGGACTGGAGGGAACGAAGCTGACAAAGGGGTCAGCTGGGAAGCCACTGCCCCAGCCCTGGTAAGAGACACGTCATCCTGGATTGGGATGGTGACTGAAGGAGAGAAGCAGATGAATGAGAATTGAAGGAGGCATGCTTAACACACACACACACACACTGAGTTTGAGTCTCACTCTGTTGCCAGGCTGGAGTGCAGAGGCATGCTCACAGCCACGGCAGCCTCGACCTGCTGAGTCCAGGTGATCCTTCCGCCTCAGCCTTCCAAGTAGCTGGAACTACAGGTGTGTGCCACCACACCCGGCTAATTTTTTGATTTACCGTAGAGATGAGGTCTCGCCAAGTTGTCCAGGCTGGTTTCACACTCCTGGACTCAGGCAATCCTCTTGGCGTCAGCCTCCCAAAGTGTTGGGACAGCAGGTGTGAGCCACCGGGCCCAGCTAACCTATCTTTGTGATAAGTGATGTGTTATGAAAGAAGGATCAGCCAGGCACCCTTCCGCCATCACAGCCCAGCTTTTGAGACTGGGGAGGGGGAGGAGTAGCATTTGGAAGAGAAGCAGAATTGAGGAAAGGGGTTTTTTAAAAAATGACAAGAAAACTGTCCATACTAAAAATGCTCACAGAATTGGGCTGAGAGAAAGGACAAGGTTTATGCTGGGAAGACCACAACCCAGAATACAGAAGGGAAGGCCTGCCACCACCAGCGGGAGTGGAGATGGGACTGTGAAGGCTGCAGAAATCGAGGAGACATGATCTAAAGCACCTGCTGTGAAGGGGAAAGAAGTACTGCCTTTCCCAGACTGTGTGTTATGACTCCGAAAACTGCTACCCTGGAGGGTGGTCTCATTGTACTTGAAACTTGAGCTGGGTGTGGAGGTGCATGCCTGGAATTCCAGCAAGGCAGGAGGCTAAAGTGGAAGAATCCCTTGAGGCCAGACCAGCTGAACAACTAGCAAGACTCTGTCTCAAAAAAAGAATGTGCCAGGCGCGGTGGCTCATACCTGTTTCTGCCCTTCAAGAGTTCACTAATTATCCTGCGGTGCTGGCAGTGTGCTGGGTCAGGGATATGGTCTACACCGTCTGGGCGTCAACCTACTTCACCCAGAGAACAGTCTGCAAGCAGGTAATCCTGTGTCCAGTCGAGGAGATACAGGAATATGGTCACACAGCAGGAGACTCAGACCCAGCCGCAAGAGCCACGCACAAGCTACATACAAGCCACACACAATCCACGCTGCAGAATGTAGGGGGCCAGGGTGAACCTTTCAAAAGTCACTCAATGTCACATGGACGGCATAGAGGGAACTGCAGGGGCCTGCCGTCCCCACTGCTCCTCAGAACCACCACCAAAGAGCATTTACTTTTATGTCCCAATTCCTGCCATTTGAAAGCCAGCAAAAGGCTTGAAATCAACAGGGACACAGGGCACAGCTATTAAAGCAATATTTTCTGTAGAAAGGTGGTTTTATGGGAACCAAATGAAAAATAGAGATCCTTTCCCCACTCCTGCAAAATACAGCATTTCTGAAGGTTGCATGGCAAAACTGTCTCACAACCTCAGTCCTGGTCCTCAGCTGTCTTCTATTTTACTGCTGCCTGTTTTTTATGGTAGACATTTTCAAGAAGTTAGAAGAGCCTGAAAATAGGAACACACTCCATCCACAACCATCACCTCAGTAAATCTTGATAAATCCATGTGGACGATGACACTGCATATGAACTCCACAATTCCTCTCAGAAGGAAGAAAGATCAAAAAATAAAAAAACAAGCTGGGTGCAGTAGCTCACACCTGTCATCTTAACTCTTTGGGAGGCAGATGTGAGAGGACTGCCTAAGTCCAGGGGTTCAAGATCAGCCTGGGCAACATGGCAAGACCTTGTCTCTACAATAAATCAAAAAATTAGGCGTAGTGGCACACGCCTGGAGTTCCAGCTACTTGGAAGGCTGAGGTGAAAGGATCGCCTGAGCCCAGGAGGTCAAGGCTACGGTGGCTGTGAGCGTGCCACTGCCATCCAGCCTGGGTGACAGAGTGAGACTCTCACTCAAAAAAACAAAATAAAATAAATAAATTAAAAACCAACAGGTGTCTTTTAGGAAGTGGCATTTAACACCATGAATAAGACACAGCAGAAAAGGCGACATAGCAGGCAGCCCCAGCTCTAGCCCTCACCTTGATGCTGACCCGCTCACGTCCTCAGACAGGTAACCCAGCTCAGGTTCTCCATCTGCAGAGCCAAGGCTAGAGCACCAGGTGACCTGAGAGCTCCTCCAGCTCACCATTCTAGGCCTTGGTACTCCAGGGCTAAAACTTAACAAGAGTTTTCTATATAGAAACGAACAAGTCACCCATAAGAGCAGTACCCAAAGATAAGCACTTTAAACATTTTCATTCCTTAAGTCTTTTTTTTTATTAAAAGTAAGTCTTAAAATTTCTGTTATTAAACTGATGTAAATAATGGGAACAGTTCTCTGCTGGCCAGACTGGCTGCTTCTGAGTCTCCATGGAGACATGCCCGGTGTTCTCTGAAGCAAGTAAGCACTACGTTTAGCTTCAGTACAAGGGCAATCTTCTATCAAACATCACTTACCTCTCTAGCTGCCAAAACAATCGTGGTTAGTTGAGAGCGATCACCCCATTCTGCTAAGAATGTTAATGTAAGAGCTTGAACAAAAATGGGTGAAATAAAATGCAACCACTTCTTCTGAGGTATGGCTGTGCTTGTACCAGTTTCAACATCTCCTGGCCCGTTTAAGAGTTTGGTTCGCTGAAACTAAAACAAATGACACTAATTTCAGGAAGCAAATAAAAATTACACAAAATCACTTCATCTGTCTTTTTAAAAAGTGCTTGACCTCTATGGAGCACGCTCCAAAGAAACTGCATTATGTGACCCTAACTCCCCATCTGAATCACCAGAGTACCAAGTGCTGCACCATCCTCAATCCTTCCATTCCTCCCCAAGCCAGGTCAACTTTTACTAAGCACTGACTATTCTAGATGCTGTGGAAGAAACATGGGAAGTAACTATACACACAGTTCCTGCCCTTCAGGAGCCTGGAACCTTCCAGTCAGGAGCCTGACTGTCTGCACTCTGTGTTCCTCCTTTCTCTCCCATATTTCCACCAATCCAGAGTCCTGGCGCCACCAGCTGTAGGAAGCTGAGTACTTGTGTGTGGCCCAGGAGCATTACACAGATGTGGCTACTGAGAAGCCTCTGAGTGTTTATTCCAAGTTGAGGGCCCTTCTGGCCCAGAGGCTCCAAAGTGCCATGACTTACCTCTTCATCTTTCTTCTTCAATTCTGCTTGGACTTCTTCTAGCTCCTCTTGGCCCTCATCAGGGCTCATCTTTAAGCCTTCTCGAAGCATTCTAATGCCAAAAATGGCAAACAGTGCCGTTGACACATAGTATGTATATACCCTGGGGATGACTGTGGTGGCATAGCCAAACAGAACTGGAAGAAATGCAACAAGACGTCTGTTCATGGTCACGTGTCACAACCAACTCAAGAACAGTAACTTACCATTGCTCACAATAGCAGCTAAACTCATATGTAATAATCTTAAATAATCCCACCTCTTTCCCTCCACCAATAATAGCAAGCCCAAGCCAAGGCCCTCACAGCTTGCCAAAAAAGCAAGGGTGCAGGGCAACCCCCCTTGGGTCCCCTCCTGCTGTTGGGAGCTTTTCTGTCCTCTCAATAAATCTTGCTTTCAAAAAAAAAGAAAGAAAGGGTGCAGCTGAAGTAGCATGTCCCCCAGAGCCCATGAGACTGCGCTCCCCTCATGTTCCCTCTGAACCCATCCCCAGGGCTGGCGGCCCTCTTCTGGGCAGGACAAAAGGCGGAAAGGGGGCTTGGCTCTGAGGCCCTCCAAGGAGTCCAGGACTTTACAACCTGGAAGTACACCACTTTCATATGAAGCTGGTATTTCCTCCTCATCACAAACCTTTAAATTAAGAACTTCCATAGTGAAGAATCATGACAAGATTCTCACACTGCATGATTCAAACCCTAGTCCTTTGTGACTATTTAAAATAAGAATATCTTATGGAAAAAAACCTAAAAATTCCTATATGTACATTAAAATGTTTACAATAGACTCAAAAATCATATTCAGTCCCAAGTTTTCCTACTCAAAAGGAAAAACAATTGTCTATGTTATACCCAAAAATGATACTTGGAATGACATCAAGAGCCTAAATCCTAACTGTGAGACACAAGTACATCAGTCCCATCAGTAATTGAAAGTTAAGAACTGGCCAGGCACGGTGTCTCACGCTATAATCCCAGCACTTTGGGAGGTCGAGGTGAGAGGACTGCCTGCGCCCACAGGTTCGAGGCCAGCCTGGGCAACTTGGCGACACCTCTTATCAAAAAATTAGCTGGGTTCTTGCTCCCTCTCTCTCTTGCTCTCTCTCTCCCCGCCACTCTCTCACTCTTTCTCCCTCTCTCCCTCTTTCTGTCTCTCCCCCTCTCTTGCTTTTTCTCGGTTACAGACCCTCTCTGTAACAGCCTCAAAAAAAAAAATTAGCCGAGTATGGTGGCATGTGCCTGTAGTTCCAGCTACTTGGAAGGCTGAGGCGGAAGGATCACCTGAGCCCAGCAGGTTAAGGCTGCAGTGGCCATGAGCATGCCACTGCACTCTAGCCTGGGTGACACAGTGAGACTCCAATTCAAAAAATAAAAAAGTTAAGAACTATGCAAGTGTCAGGACACAACCATACATAAAATAAATGCAACTACTCTTCATCAGTTCTTTTTATAAAATGATAAGGCATTTATAAATCTGCCTGAATATCATGTGTATAACCATATATATAAAAGCTATTCCCTACTGTATTATAAAATTGTAAAGGTTTTACAAACATGTTTAGAAAAGAAGCAAACCTACACTTGTGTGCATAGCTGTATCTGAATTATAATCATATATTACATAATTATAATATGTATCATAGTTGTATCTCACACACGACACTGCCATCTATTTTCTAGTTCTGCCCACTGAAAATTTCAGGCCAAGAAGCAAGACCTCTCTCTCAGTAACAATGCCCCAGATGAGGGTTCTGAACCCGTTCTCCACTAAAAGGTCCCTCAAGACCAATTCCAGAACTGAAAAGAGCAGGAACAAGAGGAACCTGCCGTGTCTTGCTACAACTAGAAAGTGTACATGAAGAGGACATGGCGGGGCGGGGGGGGGGGGGAAGCAGCCTGGAAGGCTCCCATTGCCTAACTGGGAATGTAATCAACAAAACAGTTGCATGATTAACTGTAAACCACTGGAAAGGCATAACCCTGTACTGACAACAAACAGACAAACGAGAGGAAGGAGAGCTCTCGCTTGCAGCACAATGCCAAAGTTCACTGGTCCACATGAAGAAAATAATAGAATTAGAAAGTCACCATGTTGCAAGCGCCAAGAAAAAGTTTAAATCATGCAAAAACCATCAACTGATGTTAAATTTATGGGGAAATTTTGATGAGGAACAGGATATTTGTAGACTGCATATTAGCTGCCACTGAAGACAAAGACAACACAAGAGAAATCTCAACTGAGTGATCAAAATTAGTATCACCAAAGAGGTATGAATGAACACCCATGTGTGTCCAGATGTGTAATCTAATCCAAATATGAGGAAACATCAGCTACACACAAAAACAAGAACAGTCCACGGAGGGAGAGGGAAACATTGTACTCTTCAAAAAATGGTGATGTCATAAAACACACTTTAAAAGTCTAAGAAAATACTTCAGATTAAAAGACTAAAACGTTAATAACTAAATGCAATACCTGACAGAGGCTGAATCATATTCTGGAGGGAAAAATATTGCTACAAAGGATATTATTAGGCCACCTAACAAAATTTAAATATGGATAAAGTATTATATGAACATATGTATCTATATAAAGACGGTACAATTCTATGTGTACGTACATATATACATACATATAATTTTATATAGTCAGACCTATCATAAATGCTAAAGCAAATGGAGAAAAATATTAGCAGTAGGTAAATCTGGGCAAAAAGTATAGAGGTGTTCTTTGTACCATCTTACTTCTGCAACTTTGTAAATTTATTTTTTTATTTTTTGATAAGGAATCTCACTCTGCCACCTACACTGAAGTGCAGTGGCATGCTCCCAGCCACCGCAGGCTCAACCTGTTGGGCTCAGGCAATTCTTCTGCCCCAGTCTTTCAAGTAGCTGAAACTACAGATGTGCACCACCACACTCGGCTAATTTTTCATGATTTATTGTAGAGACAAAGTCTCACACAGTTGCTCAGGCTGGTCTCGAACCCCTGGGCTCAGGCAATCCTCTCACCTCAGCCTTCCACAAGCGCTGGGATAACAGGTGTGAGCCACTGTGCCCGAACAGCTTTGTAATTAAAATTAAAATTATAAGTAATATTCATCCATGGAAATATAGGCTAATTTAAAAATAACAGCCCTATTATTTGAGATAAATTTCCAATTTTAGAAAAATGTTTACAGTTGAGATATTTGCTTTGATTAACTGTGTACCAATAATAACTAATGATCTAATCCACAGAGTTAACATTTAGACACTTGATGGAAACTGTCATCATTTAAAATTACATTATATGCATTTTTTTAATTACATATAAACATAGCAAGGCAATCCATAAGAGATTTTGAAGCCAAAATTTAGGGTAAAATTCTGTAAAGAAAGTAATAAGGCTTTTTTTTTCCTCCAAAAGGACACCAAATGGCAGATGACGCCGGTGCAGCGGGAGGGCCCGGAGGCCCTGGGGGCCCCGGAATGGGAAGCCGCGGTGGCTTTCGTGGAGGTTTAGAGGCCGAGGTCGTGGCCGGGGTCGGGAACGAGGCCGTGGAGGTCGCGGAGGAAAGGCCAAGGACAAGGAATGGATGCCCATCACCAAGTTGGGTCGCTTGGTCAAGGACATGAAGATCAAGTCACTGGAGGAGATCTATCTCTTCTCCCTGCCTATCAAGGAGTCTGAGATCATTGACTTTTTCCTTGGCGTCTCTCTAAAGGATGAAGTTTTGAAGATCATGCCTGTGCAAAAGCAGACTTGCTCTGGCCAGCGGTCTAGGTTCAAGGCATTCGTTGCCATTGGGGACTACAATGGCCACATCGGTCTAGGTGTTAAGTGCTCCAAAGAAGTAGCCAGTGCCATTTGGGGGCCATCATCCTGGCCAAGCTGTCCATCGTCCCTGTGCGGAGAGGCTACTGGGGGCACAAGATTGGCAAGCCCCACACTGTCCCTTGCAAGGTGATTGGCCGCTGTGGCTCTGTCCTGGTACACCTTATCCCTGCTCCCAGGGGAACTGACATCGTCTCGGCCCCCGTGCCTAAGACACTGCTCATGATGGCTGACATTGATGACTGCTACACCTCAGCCAGGGGCTGCACTGCCACCCTGGGTAACTTCACCAAGGCCACCTTTGATGCCATCTCTAAGACTTATAGGTACTTGACCCCTGACCTCTGGAAAGAGATAGTATTCACCAAGTCTCCTTATCAGGAATTCACCATCTTGTCAAGACCCACACCAGAGTCTCCAAACAGAGGACCCAGGTTCCAGCAGTGGCAACAACACAGGGTTTTCATGCAAAAAAAATAAAGTGAACTAAGCCCCCCCCACAAAAAAAAGAAAAAGAAAGTAATAAGACTTAAAGGAGAAAAAAAGGTAAATTTTAAGCTTTTAAAAAAGAGTTGAAGGTCAGGCACAGTGGCTCATGCCTGCAATCCTGCACTTTGGGAGGCCATGGTAGGAGGACCACTTAGCCCAGGAGCTCAAGACCAGATTGGGCAACATACCTTATCTCTATCAAAAAAAAAAAAGAAAAAATTGCTGGGTGTGGTGGCCATGTGCCTGTAGTCCAAGCTACTAGGGAGGCTGAGGTGGGAGGACTATCTGAGCCCAGCAGGTTGAGGCTGCAGTGGCTGTGAGCATGCCCCTGCACTATAGTCTGGGCAACAGAGTGAGACTGACTCAAAAAAATAAATTGAACAAAACACCATAATGGTTTTATTTGAAACAAATACCAGAAATTAGATCTTTACAACTTCTTAAATTTAACATGAAAAATTTAGGCCGGGCTCGGTGGTTCAGTCAGTAATCCCAGCACTTCGAGAGGCTGAGGCAAGTGGATTACCTGAGCCTGTGGGTTTGACACCCGCCCAGGCAACTTGGTGAGACCACATCTCTACAATAAAGCAAAAACTAGCTGGGCATGGTAGTGCATGCCTGTAGTTCTGGCTACTTGGAAGGCTGAGGTGGAAGGATCGCCGGAGCCCAGCAGGTCGAGGCTGCAGTGGCTGGGAGCATGCCATGGCACTCCAGTCTGGGCGACAGAGTGAGACTCCAACTCCAAAAAAAAAAAAATTTAGACAACTTCAATATGGTAGTGGGTACATAATTGTTCAAAATTATTTAAGAGAATATACAAGGAAAAGGTCTGAAGACCACAGGCACAGATGTTTTAGGAAATCCAGGTAAGAGAAGTTATCAGCACTGGTACCAGGAAACCCGGTGAGCATGAAGGCAGAACAGGCCAGCAGTAGCAGAGCAGGAGGAACTGCACACAGGAGGGCTGTAGAGCAGCGGCTGGGACCACTGTTATCCTCAGGCTGCAAGCTCAGCTGTGATGTTCCCAAGACAGTTTCAATTGTTCTAAACATGTGACTTCACCATCTGCAACTCTCCCCCTATTTCCTCAAATCAGCGTTTGCTCTTTAAGAGAAAACTATGGCCAGGCACAGTGGCTCATGTCTGTCATCCCAGCACTTTAGGAGGCTGAAGTGAGAGGACAGCCTGAGCCCAGGGGTTCATACCCAGCCTGGGTAACTTGATGAGACCTCATCTCCACAGTAAGTAAAAAAAATTATCCAGGTATGGTGGCGCACACCTATAGCTCCAGCTACTTGGAAGGCTGAGGTAGAAGGATCACCTGAGCCAGCAGGTGGAGGATGTGATGGCCATGAGCATGCCACTGTAGTCTAAACAACAGAGACCCCGACTCAAAACCAAAAAGAGAAAATTGTGTTTTCAGTGTGAAATATGAATAATGCACATACTATTTTCCCAAATGTGAAGAGAATTCAAATTATTTTCATCATTAAAATGTTCATATATGCCGGGCTCGGTGGCTCAGCCTGTAATCCTGCACCTTTGGGAGGCTGAGGTGACTGGATTGCCTGAGCCCGCGGGTTTGAGACC